TAGGCCTCTTTCTGGCCTTGTTCAAAGAACAGGCTGGGCAGGGAAGTGGCCAGGCCGGCGGAAACCCTCTGGTGCCAGTCCGGACGAGAGCCCCTCAGAAGCCTGGAGCCCAGCCTGTGATCAAGTCAGACCTGGCTCCAGAAAGCGCTACTTGGGTGGGGTGGGGTGGGCATTCCTGTCCCCACCTGAGAAGGCCACTCACATTTAGCATTTGGGAGGGGGACTGTTCCCCAAACCCTGGGCCAGGCTGAGCCCTCCTGCTGGCCCTGCTCCTGTAGAAATACACCAGGAACACCGGTTCCTCTCCACAGCCTGGCCTGGAGGCTCCAGGGTGAAGCTCAATTCCTTTCATTATCATCCTCTCTATCCCGACGCCCCCAGCCCCATTTTCTACCTGACTCATTCATTCAACAAATGTTTCGTGCCAAGGACAGGAAAAGACAGTTACCAAAAAGGCCCAGAGTCCCAGTCCTCGTGGAGACTACAATCCTCCTCTGATACAGTCCTACCATCCTCTGAGGTTCAACGAAACACAGCCTCCTCCAGGAAGCTCACCTAGCTGTCCTGGGAGTTCCTTTCTCTGGCTTTGTCTATCTCTCTCTCAGGGCTCATGACACATCTCCTTTAGCCTTAGGATGGCCTCATGTGACCTGTCTCTGTCTCCTTGGAACCAGCACACAGATGGGCCTCAGTAAGTGGTAGTTGCTGTCACCATCAGCACCTGCACCCCACCATCATAAAGGAGGGACAAAATTCTGGGGGTCCTGTGAACCCCTCGCCTGGCTCCCTGGCCTCTGGCAGACAACACTGCAATGTTACCAGCATACATGCCGGTGGGCCCGTCTTTAAGAAAACTTGGCATCGAAAAATCCCAACCACCAAAGCTCACAGGGAGGGTCTACTTGACCTTTGTGAAAGTCGCCTTAGTGTCTGCAGCCAAAGGGAGAGCTGGCTGGGTGCAGTGGTTCACGCCTGTCATCCCAGCACTTTGGGAGGCTGAGGTGGGTGGATCACCTGAGGTCAGGAGTTCGAAACCAGCCTGGCCAACATGGTGAAACCCCGTCTCTACTAAAAATACAAAAAATTAGCCGGGCGTGGTGGTGGGTGCCTGTAATCCCAGCTACTTGGGAGCCTGAGGCAGAAGAATCGCTTAGAACCTGGGAGGCAGAGGTTACAGTGAGCCAAGATCATGCCACTGTACTCCAGCCTGGCGACAAGAGCAAGACTCTGTCTCAAAAATAAATAAATAAAAATAAATAAATAAATAAATAAATAAAGGAGCTGTCATCAGTGCCAAAGAGCCCTGGGGTCACAGCTGTGACTGTACTTGCCATCTCGAGCTGCTCTGCTCTGGGCTGATTCCTGCAAGAGCAGTTCTGGTCCTGCCCCTGTGGGTGGGGTGGTGGGGTTCTGATGCCCCTCAAATGCATGGGCCTGTTCTGGAACCCTCTACTCACCCCTCTGCATCTCCTAGGAAGAGGCAGGGGACGAGGCAGGCGCTTCCCAGGAATCCCATGCTGCCTGTATGAAGGACCGGCTTCTGGCAGGGACATGGAGTCCAGGCACAGCTGGGAGGAAGATTGGAGAGGTGGACAGCAACACTCGGCTGGCAGGACAGTTGGTTCCCGTGTCCTTGCCAGGCCTTGCAAGCAAAGCCCCAGGCAGGAGCGTGAGGCTGGACCCTGGCCCAGCAGCCCCATACTCCTGCCAGACCTCAGGCTCAGCTCTGGGGAAAGGGAGCATCTGCAAACAGCAGAGGCCCCGGCCAGAGGCCTCCTGACCTTCCCAGGCACGGGGGCGGAGTGCAGGCCATGAGCAAAGCTCAGCTGCATGGCTGGGACTGAGGACAACTCCCAGAGCCTCCAAGGAGCTTCCCCACCCAAGAAGGGGACTGGCAACAGCACCGTGGCAAAGCAGGGGAGATGGTCGTGAGCTCTACAGGCCGGCCTTCCGTGCCTGCTCCTTAAGGCAGGGCCCTCTCTGGGAACTGCCTAGGCAGCCAGCCTAGCTTCACCTGTCGACCTGAGCCATATCTGGTGGAAAATAAACCTGTTAGGAGTTGGAGACAGGGCCCCCAGGGCAGCGCCTTCCCTTCCTGGGCCCACGGGCCAGGCCCGCATCTTCCATTTTGGGTGACTCTGCTGTCTCCCAGCATACTGCCCTCTGTGCCTCAGTGGCCAGGGGCCCTGATTCATTCAAACTCACACCGGCCCCAAGCACCATGCAGTCTGGGGGGGCGTTCTGCTTCCTGGCGCCCCCTCTGCTGTCAGCTTGGAAGCTGAGACTCAGTGCCTGTAGAACGTCTCAGCATAAGCTGGGTGCGGTGATTGCCGCCTATAATCCCGGCACTTTGGGAGGCTGAAGTGGGAGGATTGCTTGAGCCCAAAAGTTCGAGACTAGCCTGGCAACATAGGGAAATCCTGTCTCTTTAAATAAATAAATAAATAAATAAGAAATTAGCTGGGTGCCATGGTGTGTGCCTGTGGTCCCAGCTACTTGGGAGGCTGAGGTGGGAGGATGGCTTGAGCCTGGGAGGTCGAGGCTGCAGTGAGCCGTGATTGTGTCACTGTACTCCAAGCCTGGGCAACAGAGCAAGACTCTGTCTCAAAAAAACAAACAAAACATCCCAGCAGAACAGGGGAGGGGCCTGCCCCTTGGAAGGAGCTGAGGATGGGAAGGAGGGCAGCTAAGGCTTCCAGTCCACAGCCAGAGGCAGAATCGGAGGCAGATGTGACCTTAGTGAAGCCCAGGTCTGCCCTTGGGGATCCCAGGGAAGCGGACAGCTGCCAGCCTCCATGGCTGCCCAACCCCCTCTCCCCATACCAGCCACCCACACACAGCAGTCAGGGCAAGCTCTCAAAAGCCGAGAGCAGCCTTGCTGAGTGCTGAAGGTTCCCGTAGCTCCGGGGCACCCGGGGTGGCTGCCCTGCGCCTCTGGGGGCTCAGCTCCAGCCACGCTGCTCAGGTCACAGGGGTTCCTTTCCTGCCTTTTTACTGCCTGTTACCTCTTCTGCAATGTCCTCTCCCCACCCGGCAGGTGTCACTCACTCATTCTCAGTCTGCCCCCATCACAGCACCTTCCAACCCGGCTTCTGCGCCTGTGTCTCCCCACCATGCTGTGCGGGCCTTGTTCGTCTCACTCCCAGCTGTGTCCCCAGCCTTGCAGGAGCAAGGCTGCATGTGTGAGAGCTCTGCGAAGGTCCTGGGCCACCCCAAGCCTTGGGTCCTTACAGGCCGTAACACCTTGGGACTCAGGGCAGCAGCAGCTCTGTCCCAGCCCTGCAGGGGAGAGGGACACAGACCTGAGTCCTGGGCTGAGGGCTGAGAATCACCTAGTCAGCCCCAGACCCCAGGGCGCTGCCCGCCATGCCCTGGAGAGGACGACACTGCACTCAGTCAGCCTGGGGTCCTGTGCACGGACCCCTTTGGCAGGAAGCTGTAGAGGAGGCTGGTGGTGGCCAGGCTCAGCTGCACGTGGTCCCCTCTCCCATCCTAGTGAACGCTGCCTTTTAGGCTCAGAAGGTTTCCGGACAGGGGAGTGGTCTGTGAAGGGAGGCCAGCGGCAGCAGCCAGCACACCCTGGTCTGGCTTCAGTGCCAGGGTGCAGGGACGTGGCTGCCCCGCCTAGGTTTTGGAGAGGGCACTAGATCTGTCCAGGAAGTCATCCCCAGCCCCGTGACCTGTCTCACTCTGTGCCCTCTGCCCAGGCAGAACCAGCCTCAACCAGTTTGTGTGGTTCAGAGAGGCCAAGGGACAGAAAGGGACTGTAAACAAATAGGTCCTTCCTGGAAGGCCACTGGGCCTCCCACACTCGTTACTCTGCCAAATACTTTCGGTATTGAAGCAGGTCGAAGGTGTTTCAATACCGACCCCTCAGCCAGGCGTGGTGGCTCATGCCTGTCATCCCAGCACTTTGGGAGGCCGAGGTGGGTAAATCACCTGAGGTCAGGAGTTCAAGACCAGCCTGGCCAACATGGTGAAACCTCATCTCTATTAAAAATACAAAAATTAGCCAGGTGTGATGGCACACGCCTGTCATCCCAGCTACTTGGGAGGGTGAGGCAGGAGAATCACTTGAACTTGGGAGGCGAAGGTTGCAGTGAGCCGAGGTTGCGTTACTGCACTCCAGCCTGGGCAACAGAGCGAGACTCTGTCTCAAAAAAAAAAAAAAAAAAAAAAATACTGACCCCTCCTGCCTCCCTTGCAGGGTGCCCACAGGCCACCAGCAGGCCTTGTCACCTCAAGGGTGGTCTGTGGGCGGTGGTGGCAGCAGGCCCTGGGAGCTGGGCCTCAACCTGCTGAATCAGAATCTGCACTCAAACTGACCCTCCAGGGTTCGGTCTGCATGTGACCCTCCGATAACTGGCCCCAGGAGGATGGCGCTAGGCCGGGGAGACGCCTTGTCAGTGGGGTTTCAGATGCTGTGCTGCACGGGCAGGAGACTCCCAGCCCCACGGTCATCACTTCTAGCTGACAGCAACACCAGTCCATGCCCCAGTCTGGCCAAGGCCAAGGCGCTGGGAAAGAGCAGTGCAGAAACACTCGTGGGACACTGTGAAAGAATCCCCAGCTCCATGGCCGAGTGTCAGGAGGCTGGCCCCAGGCCCAATGCACACTCACTCTGAGCAGGGCTGGTGCACCTGGGGCCCAGTTTCCCTCTCCACACACGAGCCCCAGGGCCAGGCAGGACGGCACGGGGGAGCTCTCAGCCTGCGAGGCCTGGCAGAACCACACAAATGGCTATTTGTTTCCTCAGTTCCATCCACTGAGACCCCCCACACCAAAGTGAATAGGGCAGTAGGCATCAGGCCACAGTCATGGCACCCAGACAGACCTGTGTCCTGGGGAGGCCTGGCCAAGGCACGGCATGAGCATCTGTCTCTGTCGGGCAGCTGATATACCCAAGAACGCCCAGTGTGGGGGACAGTGGTAGATTTTGGCCACCTAGCACATTTTCAACCATGGACAGAGCCATGTCTGAAGCAAGGACACTTCTGGGCTTTGCAACCACCCATCAATAAACTTCCTTTTTTATTATTAAGTGTGGGCAGGGTTTCTGTTCTTGCAACTTAGTCCTAACAGAAAACACTGGTTTCACTGACCGCAGGGAGAGCTGAGGACAGGACAAAAAGGCACGAGACAGCTGGACACCTCGAGAGAGGTGACACAGGACAGAGTCCTCACCCAGCTGCCCTGGGCGTCGCGGCTGCAGTCCCTGGGCCTGGTGGCATCCACAGCATGGCAATCTCTGGCTGGGCTTCAGGGAGCCCGTATGTCTGATTGGCAGGGCTTTGCCGGCCAGGCAGTGGGCACCAGCGTGGTGGGTGGGTAGGCCTGAGCTTCCAGCAGGCCTCCTGGGATTCAGGCTCTTCAGTGGGGTGTGCTTGTCGAGGGGAGGGTGGGTTCTGTGGCTTGCGGCTACATTCCCGTGCTGTCTTCCGTCTATGTTCCAAAACCCGCTCTGGTCCCTAGGTGTCTGGAGACCTGGGGTGGTCCAGCTCAGGAGGCCATCTGGAGCTGCCGCAGCAGCCTGCAGAGCGGGAGTTGGCGTTGGTTCCCAAGAGGTCTGGGTGTTCTGGGGCTTCCTGAAGGGAAAGGCATTACCTGCAGTGAAGTCAGAAGGACACAGTGTCCAGCAAAAAGGCACTGGGAGTCCAGAAAGAGCCACTCCCCACCGTTGCCCCTGCCACCATGGGGTGGGCTCCCGGAGCCCTGGGCAGCTTCTGGAGCTACCCTCTCGGGGGCGTGGGCAGTGGAGCTGGCTTGGGGACAGATGTTCTGCAGGCCGGGGGTCAGCTGTGGAAGGCAGACCAGGCCACGCCCGAGCCGTAGAACTCCACGCGGCTGGGCCAATCGCCGTCCCTACTGCCCTCCTTGTCCTCGTCGGAGTCATCATCATCTCCACTGGACGCTCCGCAGATGGGCCGCGTCAGGTGGGGCGGCTGCCCTGGGGACCCCGCGCCCTGCTCCTCCGCCTCCTCCTGCCGCTGCTGGGCAGCCAGCTCGCGGTAGCAGAGGCTGCAGACGCGCACAGGCTTGGGGGACAGGCGCGGGAGCAGGAAGCGCTGGCGCGAGCACTCAGCGCAGACCACGAAGCCGCACTTGCGGCAGTGGTGGCGCCTTGTGAGGGCGGAGAAGCGCGTCTGCGTGCAGCGCATGCAGATGTCCGTGGCCTTGTCGGGGATCCAGGGCGCCGCGTGCTCCGTGCTGGGCGGGCGGCCCGTGGCCCGCAGTTGCCGCCGCACACACTCCTCGATGTGGCTGATCCACTCCTGGCGCTCCGTGGCGGAGGCGGCCGACACCACGAAGGACTTCTTGGCCGTCTTGATCATCCAGCGGTTCTTGGCCTGCAGTGTCTCCGGCAGCAGCTCCAGCGTGACCTCCTCCAGGGGAATGATGTGCTGGCTGCGGTACTTGCGCTTGTTGAGCACGATGCTGCCATACACCAGGATGTCGTTGAAGAGGAAGAAGATGCGCGGCTTGGCCTTCTTGCGGCACTCCTTGGTCAGCACGCCCTCGCCCAGCAGCACTCGGCCCGGCAGCGCCAGCGGCTGCCCCGAGGCCCCGAAGCAGCTCTCCACGGCCGCGATGCGCTGGCTGTTGATCTCCGTGTTGGCCAAGTGGTCCACCATCGTCTCCAGCCGCCGGCTGCAGGGCGAGACAGACGGGGAGTATGTCCAGGCTCAGGCATGGGGGTGTCAGAACCACGCTGCCCATCCCCGACTCACTAACCCACCACGCCAGGCAGCCCACTGACTACCCACAGTACCCCGCAGGCCTGCCAGCACTGAGCAGCATCACCCCAGAAGCTGGCCCTTCCAGGGGAGTATAGGGAACTACGGGGAGGGAAGGGGGATTCCCCAGTAAAGGGGAGGTGGCGGCCAGACAGGGATGGGAAAGCAGTGATAAAGTGTGCTACTTAGCCCAGGTGCAGCGATTCATGCCTGTGGTTCCAGCGCTTTGGAAGGCTGAGGCAGGAGGAGGCTTGAACCCGGGAGTTTGAAGCTACAGTGAGCTATGATCACGCCACTGCACTCTAGCTAGGTGACTGAGTGGATTCTATCTCAAAAAAAAAAAAAAATGTTCTACTAAGCAGGCTACCACTGTGGGCAGCAGAGGTCCAGCCGCGCTGGGGAGCCTTGAAAAACAGGGTGGAATAGGCCTCAACGGGACATCAGAACGGTCCTTGCCAGGAGACCTGGGTGTCTCCACCCCCAACCCATCCCTGACTGCCATTCACCAAACCAAGCCATCACAGGCCCTGCAACCCATGCACCCACCCAGTGAGTGCAGCAGTCACCACCACCATCACAAGCACAGGCGCTGAGTGCTTCTTCTCAACCAAGCCTGACTATCTCATTTAGTTCCCACCTGACCCCAGGAGGCAGAATCCCCACTTTACAGGAGGGGAACTGAGGCGATGCTAGGAGGCAGGGGCCCTGGAGCTCGCACTATGCTGTCCTCCTGAGTGGAGTGGGAGGCCACACAGGCCCCTCTGCTGGTGCCCTAAGCACTAAGCACTAACTCAGAGCTCATGCTGGGCGCCCTTGCTCGGTCCACACATGCACCAGCCCACCAGACTCACGACCTTGAAGACCCCCTAAATGCCACAGATTCCCCAGTCCAAGCCTCCGGTCTTGGCCTCTCCAAGCTCTAAGAGGGCTCTCAGCATAGATGTTCACCTGCTTGTCTAACAAGTTCCTCAAACTCAACACATTCAACACTAAACCCAGTCCCCACAGACCTGCGCCTCTTCCTCTCCTTCAGTGACACCGCCATTCACCCAAGAGTTCAAACCCAGATCTAGGATGCATCCTTGAATCTCCCCCTTCCTGTACCTCCAACATTCAAGCCATGAGCAAATCTCATCATCTTTTCCTCCTCTCAAATCTAGCCCGCCCGCTTCTCAGCACACGACTCCGCCACCATATCGGCGGCAAGGTGCCATTGCGTCCCACCTGAGACAGGCTGTCCCAGGGTCGGCTCCTTCCTACAACGGGTTCTCAGTTCCTGTCTGTCTCCTTTTCAAAAGGGTTCTCCCTCACAACCCCAGCTCAGGCAGTCTCTCCCCACACCCAGGACAGGCATTGGTAATGCATGGTCTGAGAGTCAAATCCGGCCCTCAGCCTGCTTTTGTAAAGATTTATTGGGACACAGCCAGATATGTTCATTTATTATTGTCTCTGGTGGCTTCCACACTGCAATGGGAGAGTTGAGTGCTGGTGACAGGGACAACATGGTGACAAAGCCTAAAATATTTACCACCTGGCCCTTTGTAGAAAGGGTCTGCTGGCCCCTTCTCTGGGATTCAATCCTATTTTGTTTTTTCTTTGCGGGATTTAACAGGACCTGCTGTTTTCTCGTCTATTCATTGCTTGTGTGTTTTCTGCTTCCGCCACTCAATTCTTAGCTCCATGAGAACACGAGCCTCTTCCTGTTGGGCCCACAGTTCTTGGAGCCATGCCAAGCAGATACTAGGTGCTTCATAAGTAGCTTGGCACGGTTCCAAGCAGGTCCCAAGGCCCACCATGCATGACTCAGCTCTTACCTCTGCAGAGGAAGAGGTGAGAGCTGGCCCCACCACCACCACGTGCACACATGCGTTCAGGCACACACGGCACGCCTGGGGCTGAGCTGATCACACCCATAGTGTTTCTGGGTCACTGAGCTGCAGTTCTGAGCCTGGCCACCAGCAGAAAGCCACAGTGGGGCCCCAGTGTGACGGCTGGATGCATTACACAAGAGAAGATGCTGGGCCCTCGAGTCCCGTTCCACTTGCCCCTGTAGATCACAAGTGTCCTGAGAAGAGCTGCCCACACCGCCTTACGTAAGAACTGCTATTTTTAGGTTGCTGATCTTGGCTGTATACTGCAAACCTAGGGGATTACCAGTGACAGACTTGACCCGTCTCTCCATGACTGATCACCGAGTACCTGGCTGATGGACAATCTGACAAAACCAGAACTGCATTCCACAAAGAGTGATGACCGCACAGCAGAGACAACCAAAATGCCTACCAGCAGGGAAAACCACAAAAACCCAGGGCTACTCACGCAATGAGAGATACAGATCAATGTGGTCTGATGGCAAATAACAAACACGGAGTGGAAAAACACAACCTGTAGAATGTTGTATGTGAAGTGACACCACTTATGCAGGAATTACATAACATTCTGAAAGTGTTCAAGAACTATATCTATGAATAAAAATAGGTAGCAGGAAGGCCAGGCACAGTGTCTCACGCCTGTAATCCCAGCACTTTGGGAGGCTGAGGTGGGCAGATCACCTGAAGTCAGGAGTTCGAGACTAGCCTGACCAACATGGTGAAACCTCATCTTTACTAAAAATACAAAAATTAGCTGGGCGTGGTGGCGCATGCGCCTGCGTCAATCCACGCTACGTTTTGGGAGACGCTGAGCAGGGAGACATTCGCTTGAACCCGGAGGCCAAATTGCAGTGAGCCAAGGATTGTGCCATTTGCACTCCCGCCCTGTGTGACAGAGTGAGATTCCATCTCAAAAAAAAAAGGAGGAAGAACAAAACAAGAACAAAAAATAAATAATAAGTGTTGGTGAGGGTGTGGAGAAACTGGAACCGCGTGCACTGCGCTGATGAGAATATGAACTGGTGCAGGCCACTAGGGAAACAGTATTGGAAGTTCCTTAAAAAGTTAAAAATACTCACGCCTATATCCCAGCACTTTGGGGGCCGAGGCGGGCGGATCACGACGGTCAGGAGAGCTAGATGCATCCTGGGCCAACACGGGTGAATTCTGTCTTACTACAAAATACAAAATATTAGCCGGGGTGAAAGGTGGTGGGTGACCTGTATCCAGGCTACTTGGCAAGGTGACGCATGAGAACAGCGTTGACCCAGGAGGCACGAGCTTGCGACAGTAAGGGGGGGGGCGGCTTGGTAGAGTCGAGCCACTACACTCCAACCTGGGCAACAGAGAGAGACTCCATCTCAAAAAAAAAAAAAAAAAAAAAGGGTTAAAAACAGAACTACCATATGATCCAGCAATGCCACTTCTGGATATATATCCAGACTGAAAGCTGGGACTAAAATAAATATCTGCTTTCCCAGGTTCATATCAGCATCATTCACAATAGCCAGGAGGTGGAAGCAACTCAAATATCTATCAATGGGAGAATGGATGAACAAAATGTGGAACATACTTACCATGGAATACTATTCAGCCTCGAAAAGGAAGGAAATTCTGACGCATGCTACAACATGAATGAGCCCTGAGGACATCATGCTAAGTGAACCAGGCCCATCACGAAAGGACAAATACTGTAATAACTTATATGAGATACACAAACTGATCAAATTCATAGAGGTAAAAAATAGAATGGTGGTTGTCAGGGGCTGCTGGAAGGGGAATGGGGAGGTTGTCTGGGTATGGAGTTTCAGTTTTAAACGGTTAAAAAGTTTTAGAGGCTGGGTGTGGTGGCTCATGCCTGTAATCCCAGCATTTTGGGAGGCCAAGGCGGGTGGATCACTTGAGGTTAGGAGTTCGGGACCAGCCTGGCCAATATGGTGAAACTCTGTCTCTACTAAAAATACAAAAATTACCCAGGGATGGTGGCGCGTACCTATAGTCCCAGCTACTCGGGAGGTTGAGGCAGGAGAATCACTTGACCTAGGAAGCAGAGGTTGCAGTGAACTGAGATCATGCCACCACACTCCAGCCTGGGCATCACAGTGAGACTCCATCTCGGAAAAAAAAAAAAAAGGTTTTGGAGATCTGTTACACAACAATGGGAATATACTTAACACTACTGAACTGTACACTTTAAAGTGATTCAAATGGTAAAAATAAAAGATAGGAGGGAGAAAGTCAGGAGTAAGTAGTCTGGGGAGAGGACCTAGATGTGACCAGGAATAGGGGGCTCAGATCGGATTCCATCTTCGTCTGTAAGGTTTCATTTTTTTTTTTTTTTAATTAGAAAAAGGTAGCAGCAAACATGACGAAATCCAAATATCTGCCAATTTCAAGAACTGGGAACACGTGTTGCTTCTTCTAATGTAAGGTCTTCAAAAAGAAAAGAATCACAGGCCAGTGTATGGATTGAGTCCTGGGCTCCATGGGCTGGGGGCCGCTGAGCATGTCTCACGATGGGACGCCTGGCTGGGCCTGATAGGGTGACCGCATGACTTCCGGGCCTGGGCACCTGCAGGGGATGTCAGGAGCCCCGAAGAAGCAAGGCCACGCGTGCCCCCAGCCCACCTGTGTGCTGGGAAGTCAGGCCGCTGGCGAAACGGGATGCAAACCCAGTCCTGAGACTGCAGACCAAAGCCTCCATATTCAGTAGCTGAGGCAGGTGGGCTTTGTGCCCAGAGAGCAGGTAGCCCTCCCGCAACCCTGGGGGCTTGTTGAGCTCTGGATACTGGGCCAGCCAAGTGGACGGCACAGAGGAAGGGAAGGAACAGCACCAGGCGGAAGAGAGCCGCAGGCAGGGGTGCCCAATCCACCCAGACCCGGCCAGCAGAGGGCAGAGCCCATAACACTGTCTCTGCAGCCCTCGGAGGAGGCACAGAACACTCCACACGGGACCCCCTTGCTGCTCTGCCCCCGCCCGTGACTCGAAGACCCCCTCTAGGCCCTTACAGCCAGTGTCCAGCTGCTGATGGTAAAATGTGGACCGGGAAGGGCAAGGAGGGGCATCTGCTGGCGATGAAGGGGGCTGGGCTGAGAGTTGACCCCACACACGGACTGGGGCAGCCAGGGGCTCACATGTGCCCCCCCTTTGTGAACTCGCAGAGGGTCCAAGATTGGGCAAGGGGTAGGGCAGACAACATCCTCCTGGGGGCTGCCCCCACATGCACGCTCTCTCTACAGGACCACAACTTCATACCCCGGTTTGACCTGGTCTGTAGGTTTTTCTTGGCAAATACAGCAGCCCTGAGTTAGATGGGGAATGCTTTTTTTTTTTTTTTTCCTGAGACATTGTCTTGCTTTGTTGCCTAGGCTGAAGTACAGTGGTGGTGCAATGAGGGCTAACTGCAGCCTCAAACTCCAGGGCTCAAGAAAGCCTCCCGCCTCAGCCTCCTGAGTAGCTGGGACCACAGGCATGCACCAGTATGCCTGGCTAATTTTTAAATTTGTTGTAGAGGTGAGGGTTCACTGTGTTGCTTAGATAGGTCTTGAACTCCTGGCCTCAAGCAATCCTCCCTCCTCAGCCTCCCAAAGTGCTGGGATCGCAGGTATGAGCCACTGAGCCCAACTGGGAATCCTCTTTTTTTTTTTTTTTTAATTGTTCTCACCAGGGAAGTGAACCTCCCTTGCTTAGCACAGGGGAGGAAAAAGCTGAGTCCTGTCCTTATTCATTTGGGGCTGGCCTGCCTCGGGAAGATGTTGGTGACAGAGCTTCCGGGCAGCCTCTGGGACTCAGATAGTGCCTGTGTTGGCCCCAGGGCTGCTGGTAGAGGGGTGACCGCGGCGCAGTCTCAGTAAGCCTGGGAGTCAGGCAACGAACAGACCTGCATCTTTCTTTGAGGGTTCAGAGGGGTGGGGACTCTCAGGCGCAGCAATCCTGCTGCCTGCACAGGGGCTGGAGGTGCTCACGTGAGCACTGCGGCTTGGGAGCCACATCCTGAGAGCCACCGCGTGGCTGCAGAAGCCATGAAGCCAGGTTCTGTATGTTGCAGCCCAGGTGTGATATGTGCTCAACAGCAGGGGCTGGAGAGCTACACCAAATCCGGGCCACTGCCAGCTTTTCTAAATCCAATTTTACTCAAACACAGTCATGTGGGACAGAGGCTGTACGGCTGGCAAAACCTAAACTATTTGCTACCAGCTCTTGACAGAAAAGGTTAGCCAACTCCTGATCTACACCACGCCACACTGTAAAATGCATAACACACACACTGCAGGGCACGCTGAACAGGCCACGCAGGGCACTGTCCTGATGGGAGTTGTCCTGTCCTCTCCCCTACTCGGGACACAGCATTTTGGATAAATGAGAGATGTGTGGGGCCCCAATATGGTAGCCCTGGAAAGTAGGAGCTGGGCAGCGGCGGAGGGTGGAGTGAGAGCTGTAACTCCTCTGCCTCGGCTTACACGTGGAGGACCTGCTCAGGGATGTGCAGGGCCAAGGTCACCAACGGAATCAGGGTTCTGGGGGCAGCTCAGCCCTTTGGACTTTCCCTTGACTTCCAGATCGGGGCTCCTCCCTCCCTGCAGGGACCTGGGCCCCACGCAGGTCCACCCTGCTTCCATGCCTGCCTGATTTCATTTTCCAAATATTTATGAGTCCCACTGTGTGCCAGACACTGTGAGGTTACAGCCGGGAGCTGGAGACCAGGCCCTTCGGGAATGCACACTTCTTTCCAGTGAGACTAGAAGTACATTCACAGGGTCTTTTCTAAGAGCCAGTGCTAAACACTATGAAGAAAGACTGGTGCGCCCAGCAGGGCAGGGGCTGGGAGGACGGTGGAGGTCAGGGAAGGCCTTGGGAGGGAGTGAACTCCCTCCAGCCTGAAGAAATCAGCTGTGCAAAGATCTACGGGCAGAGCTCTGGTCCTGGGCAACAGCTCAAGGTGGAAAGGGTGAAGTCAGGCTGTGGAGGAAGGAGCAATGGGGCAAGGGGGACAGATGAGGTCACAGTGCTGGAAGGGGCCATCCTGCAGGCTCCCAGGCCAGCGTGAGGATGTGAGGTTTTCTCCATGTGCACTGAGACCGCAGCACCAGGTGCCAAGCCTCCTCTCCCTCCAGAGGGCCGCCCCTCGGCTCTGTCCAGCCCTCTGATTTCTGGAAGGCCCTCCTCCGGGAAGAGACCAGTAATGAAAAACAAAGCAAAACAAAACTGGAAGTGCCGCCGACTGAGCACTTAGAACTCACCAGGCACAAAGTTAAGCATATTACGTGCATTATTTCACTTAATCCTCACAAAAGCCCCCTTGGGGAAGGTACTTCCACCACATCAAAGTCACTGCCCAGGGTCCCTGCTGAGTGATCAGGAAGCCCGGCTTCAAAATAACCATGAGTTGTGGAAAGCTGCACTCAACCAGAGACCAAATCGGAACTCCAGAAGTCAGAGTCCAGCGGGTGTTGCTTGGCGCTCCAAATGCCTGATGCCCACCCCATCCCGAGCAGGCCCCTCAGCTTGGCTGGGCTGTCCCACCCTCCAGGCCATACTGGCCAATCCCCCTTCCTTCCTCGGCGGGGGGGGGGGGGGGGCTGGATTGGGCAGGTCCCCTAGCTCGCCCAGGGCCGCCTGACTTGTGCCTTGGCAGCCCTGAGGGCTGACTTGTGCAGGAACGCAGGCCGAAGTCAGAGTCATCTCAGCTCACACAGACTCCAGTGGGAATGACGCTGTGCAGATGGACGATCCCAGCGCATTAGGGGACTACCTCTCCACCTCCTTGGCCTCTGACCCTCTCTGAGTGGGAGATACTAGCGGTGTTCAAATTCCAAAGGAGGGCTCCCCTTGGGCTGCAGAGACCAACTTTCAGGGCGGCTGGGAACTTCTGCTTTCCCACCTGCCAAGGGGCTGACCACACCTCTGCCCTAAACGGCCCGCCAAGAGTTGGGGAAATGAGAAAGGAGGGAGATTTCAGGCAGCCTCTCTCTGCTGGCCTGCTCAAGTTTCCTCTCTAAGATGGGAGCCGTGCCCGACCCTGTTTTTCTTGACAACTCCCACCAAGATTCACAAACTCAACTGCTCCAGAGGAACTGGGACCCAAACGCCCCCCGCCGCGCCCCTGCCCAGAGGGACAGTGGTCCCATCCAGGCCTCCAGACTGCAGACTGGGACCGAGAAGAGAGGTCCCGGCGGCCACACGAGGCCAGGATCCTGGAAACACCACCATCAACCGGGTACACTGAGACCCCTGCAGTCCCGGGTGGCCCGCGAACCCCTCGCCTCCACCACCTTACACCTGCGCGTTTCCCTGAGGACGCCGCCTCGGCCCCTCTGACCCCTGACCGCTCTCCCTCGCTCTCCCCAGGCTCCCTGCAGCGCTCACCCAGCAAGCCGCCTAGGAGCGCCCTTCCACGGCCTCTTCTCGGGTTGGAGTCCGCGGCACTGCGCCCCGCCCGCCCAGGAGCCGCCAAGACGGCGCGGCCCGAGGGAGCTCGCTTGCCCCGGGGGTGGGGATGAGAGACTCCCCTCCTGCGCCTGCCCCGCGACCCGCAGCCCGGCCTGGGGACGGTGGGGGACTCACCTCCTGCGCCGGCCCTGTGCCCAGCCCGCGAGTTCGCACCGCGGCCGCCAGGGTCCCCGCCTGCTACGCCCAGGTCCCAACCCGCTCCGCCCAGGTCCCAGCCGGCTCCACCGGACACGCCCCCACGGTGGCTCGGCCAATCGGAGCCCAGGAAGCGGGAGGGGCGGGGCCTGGGCGCGGCTCCTGGAGGGCGCCCGGACTCCTGAGCGCCGCAGGTCTGGGGCTGGGCGGGACTGGCGCCCCTGTTTGATCCCCTGGCCCCGCCCGGCTTCCCTTTCCGCCCGCCGCTGCCCCACGCGGAGCGCGACTGCTGTCACCTGCTGGGACTGCGACCCTGGCCTTGGGCAGAGGTGGGGTGGGGGCGCCCGCGACTGCGAGATCTGCGGGGCTCTGCGGGGAAACGGGCAGTGGGAGGCTTGTGCCTTCTGGTGCCTCCGGCGGGCCTCACAGCACAGTCACCCTCAGTGGTCAATAATCGTAATATGAAAATGCAGCAGCACTTTATAACCTTTTTTTTTCTTGAGATGGGATCTCCCTCTGATGCCCAGGCTGGAGTGCAATGGCGCAATCACGGCTCACTGCAGCCTGCACAGAAATCATCCTGACCCCAGGAGAATTAGCCCACCAAGACAGGCTAGTTTTTGTATTTTTGTACTGTCGGGGGCGGGGGGGGGAGGGGGTAGGGTCTCACTACGTTGCCCAGGCTAGTCTCGAACCCCTGAGCTCGAGCGATCCTCTCGCCTTGACCTCCTAAAGTGCTGGGATTTCAGTAATGAGCCACCGCGCCTGACCTATTTTAAACTTTTTATAGTGGCGAATTTCAAACTGAAGGAAAGAGAATAGTCCAGGGGACCCTGGTGCCCATCACCCAAGTCCAACACTAGTAGCAAGTTATGTCACCCCTGGCTCAACTGTACCTGAGCCTCCTGTGTGACTCAGAAGGAAATTCCCAGGCCTCAGTGCCCGGGAGGCCTTCCTGGCCCTCCCTGGCCTCCTCCCAGAGGTCCTCTCAAATGGGCTTCTTCCTATTTCTTAAAGCCCCAGGCCTTTGCTTCTACCTACCAGGCCTCAGACTGTCACCTCCTCAGGGAGGCTGCCCTGGCCACCCAAAGTGGTTCCCTGTCTCCATCCCATCTCCCTCCACAGTCACCCGTGTTTATAATTTTGTAAAGCATCTCTCCCAACCCAGAGTCCTCTCCTGAGGCCACTCCTGGGGTTCAGGGCTGCCTAGCAGGCTGTGGCTTCTGTGGAATGCTCATCAACAAGTCATGCTGGTGGCTTGCCTCCCACCCAGGCTGTGAGCCCCACGGGCCAGATGGTAATTTCTTCTTGTTCAGGCAGGATTTATTCTCATTCACCCCTGCATCCCGAGTGCTGAGAATGGGTAGTGCATAGGAGGAATGCAGTCAGTACCTGTCACATAGATGCAGGTTGTCTTGCCAAATAGAACTCCACCTGGGTACCTTGAGAGGGGCTGGCTCAGGCCGGGGCAGTGCCTGCTGGGCCAGGACCAGGCGAGAGGGGAGCAGCGGGAGGAGGACTGATGGGCTGTGGGGCCGGAGCTAGAAGAGGTGCCTGCTGTCCTGGCGGGGGGTATGGGTGAGGCTGTTAGGTGGGTCCAGTGCTGGAGACCGGCCTCTCCCAGCTGAAAAGGGAAGGGAAAGGGGATGGGGGGAGGGGGAGGGGGAGGGGGAGGGGAGAGGCAAGTGAGAGGGCCACCAGCTGTGGCCTTGGGGAGACCCCTCCCCACTACCACCTCATGGCGCCCACCATACCATTGCCTTCATTAGCAAGGTCAGCATTTATGAGCATTCAACAGAAGCCACCACCTGGTAAGTAACCCTGAACCCCACAAGACCCGAATAATGTCTGTTTGCTTTCAAAGTGTTTAAGCATTTTTAAAATGCATTGCTGTGAACATTTCATATGGGGAGAGTTCACATAAAAATCAGGATATTCAGCTCCCCTCAAATCAGAAGACTTGAGAATGTGGGTCCTCTTTAGAGGAGCCCTGTGTTCTCCCCTCCACTATGGTCCCCACACTCCCTCTGGTTTCCCCCTTGGGGCGCTTTATCCGCTTCCGCGCCTCCAATTGATTATACGTTTGGGTTTACAAGTCCTGAAGGGGCAGCCAGGCCTCTATACCACAGAGAGCAGAAAACACAAGGTCTGAGATCCCACAGGCTGAGTAATAACCAGGAGGGTTAGTGGGGCCACTGGGATGCTGGGAAACACTGTCTCCAGTGTACACACTGCTTGTCACCAGCGGGTGGAGGGGGACTTCAAGCTGAGCCTTCAAGGCTGCGATCCATGACTGCTCAGTGCCAGCTCCGCCACCTCCCCGGCAAGAGGCTGCTTCTCAGGGAGGGTAGTCCCTGGCTGGGGTGGAGGTGGCCATGAGACTTGGAAGTGAGCCAGTCCCCTGGAAAGACAGGGCTATCTTGTTTGTGACAGTGTCCTGGCATTTAACACCTTCTCTGTACAGAGGAGGCCTTGGGAGAAGGAAGCCTTTTCATGACTCTGGGAAACTAGAGGGAGGATGTGTTGGTCCTGCCATCAGGAGACCCCTCCTAGCCTTGTCCTGCTGGTGGTCCAGGGCTCACTTGGACCTTAGTCTCCTCTTCTGTCCTTCCTTCCAGCTATGGATCTGAGTGGCGTTCCGAGAAACGCCCCAGAGGCAGCACACACTGGTTTCCAGATGTCCATCCACTTCCCAGCGGGGCTGGCTGTGCGTGGGGACGGCTGGGAGGAGGGTGGAGGGCCTCGCTCCTCCAAATAAGAGAGGAAAAACTCGTGACTCAGGGGCAGGCAGAAGTTGAGTCAGCCAAGCCACAAGCTGTGGAAAGAATGAGGTTTCTCCGAGGCGTTTGCTACTTCTCGGGAAAGAAGCCCTTTCGGCGGAGAAGCTGGCTTCCAGACTGCGGGAACCCGGGTTTCAGGAAAGCAGCGGGGCTTGGGATTTTCAAGTTAGGGATTCTGGCAACCACCTCTGTGCCCAATGCCAGGAATTTTTTTCTTTTTGGATCGTTTATTAAGTTCTGTCTACATGCCAAGCACTGTGTGCTAAACATTTTGTGTTATCTTATCTCTTCCCACACTAAAACTGTCATTCCCAGCTTTCAGTTTAAGAAACTGAAATAGGCACTGAAGTATTTAAGGATGAAAACAAATGTTGCAGCAAGAGAGAGAGAGAAAACAAAGGAGGCAGAATATTAGCAATAGGTAAATTGGGGTCAGGTGTCTCCAATCTTTTTCTGTAAAGGGTCAAATGTTAAGTACTTTGGGCTTTGAGAGCCGGGATCTCTACGGCAACTATTGAACTTCACCGCTGCAAAGCAAAAACAGCCATAGACAATACTTAAACAAGAGGGTTAGCGTCATGGACACTGATATTTGAATTTCCTGTAATTTTTGTGTGGTATGAAAAATTCTTTAAAAATTTTTTTCCAACCATTTAAAAAAGTTAAAAACCATTCTTAGCTCATACAAAATCAGGATGTGGGCTGAAGTTTACCAATCCCTGATCTCTGACTATTTGTTGAACTTTTCGTATAACTGTTCCGTTGGTTTGAAAGTTTTCAAAACAAAAAATTGGGAAAACAAAGAAAAACAAAGGAAACAGAGGTCCTACTGTTTAGATTGGGCAGATCCTGAAACTGACTCTCAATTTGTCCGATTCCCAAACTACTACATGCTGCATTCTTTTTAAAAAATTATTTGTATTTTATTTCAATTTATTTATTTCTTAGAGATGAGGTCTGGCTCTGTTACTCAGGCTGGAGTGCAGTGGCGCAGTCATGGCTCACTGCAGCTTCGACCTCCTGAGCTCAAGTGATCCTCTTGCCTCAGCCTCCTGAGTAACTGGGACTATGGGCCTACGCGACTGTGCCCAACTAACTTTTTAAAGTTTGAGTAGAGATGTGGGGGAGAGAGGGGTCTGTCTATGTTACTCAGGCTGGTCTTGAACACCTGACCTCGTGATCCTCCCACCTTTACCTCCTAAAGTGCTGGAACTAAAGGCACGCACCATCACACCTGGCTAATTTTAAAAATCTTTTGTGGAGACCAGGTCTCAGTATGTTGGCCAGGCTGGTTTCAAACACCCGGGTTCAAGATGCTGCTGTCTTAGTCTCCCAAAGGTGTGAGCCACCGCGCCTGGCCTAAATGCTGCTTTCTTTTTTTTTTTCTTTTTGAGATGGAGTCTCGCTCTGTCCGCCAGGCTGGAGTGCAGTGGCGCGATCTCCGCTCACTGCAAGCTCCGCCTCCCGGGTTCACGCCATTCTCCTGCTTCAGCCTCCTGAGTAGCTGGGACTACAGGTGCCCGCCACCACGCCCGGCTAATTTTTTATATTTTTAGTAGAGACGGGGTTTCACCATGTCAGCCAGGATGGTCTCGATCTCCTGACCTCGTGATCCACCCGCCTCGGCCTCCCAAAGTGCTGGGATTACAGGCGTGAGCCACCGTATAGATACTGTAACATGCTAAAGACACTGAGTCTCGAAGTCATACAATGTGGGGCATTTTGAAAAGATTTCTACTGAAATGATTAAGAAGATTAGTTTTAAAGGAGGAAACCCAGAGATGTTTGGGAAACCGTGACTTCAGAAGAAAATCTTGAGGGCGGGCTTGCTGCAGTGGCCTTGGATTTGAAGCTGAGACTACATCAGGACTCCAGGGAACCATGAGATGGCAGCGACGACCCCGCACCCACTCACCCTGCCTGTCTGCCTGTTTATTCCTTTCTCTCTCTGCATGTGTATGCCCTGCATTTATCATTCCAGCTGTCTGCACATCTGCTTCATGTTTACGGGCATTACTGTGTTTGTTTCCCAGCATGGATTTTTCTCCTAGAGGCTCCAACCAGGCCAAAGGAGGAAAGGAGAAATATAAGAAAACAGAAGCAGGCAGGGTGTGGTGGCTCACACCTGGAATCCCAGCACTATGGGAGGTTGAGGCGGGTGGGTCACTTCAGCCCAGGGATTTGAGACCAGTTTGGGCAACATGGTGAAACCCCGTCTCTACAAAAATACCAAAAATTAGCTGGGCATGGTGGTGCATGTTTGTAGTCCCAGCTACTCAGGAGGCTGAGAAGGGAGGATCGCTTGAGCCTGGGAGTTTGAGGCTGCAGTGAGCCGAGATCACACCACTGCACTCTAGCCTGGGCAACAGAGCAAGACCGTTATATATATATCTAAACATAAATAAAACAGAAGCGATCCTTTTTGAAAAATGCCTTCGAGGGGTGAAATAAATGTTGCATGCCAATATAATCTTGAGTGTATTAGACCTACCTAGTGTCAATGGAGTACATCCAAGAGGCTTTTGACAGCACTGGTTTGACAAAGTTCTGTCTGGGTCATTCATTCATTCATTCATTCATTCATTCATTCATTCAGCAATTACTGGATCCCTCTTTGTGCCACTACCCGGGCAGTGGATCCAGGGATGAATATGGCGCTACTTCTACCCTTGGGGAGCTCACAGTCCAGTTGGGGCAAACCCATGAACACGTCGTATTTATCCATGAGGAGAGAAGGCTGCCCACCCCGAGTAGAGGGCCGAGGTCCGTGCAGGAGAGAGCTGTCTTGGTTGGATGACACATCTTGGAGAACCATTTGGCATTTCAGTGTC